TCCTAGTTAGCCTTTCACCATTAAGTGATTTAATAAGGCAAATACATCCACAGAAAGTTCGAAAAATAGGGTAATGAATTTGTTAAGTCCTTTTTTTCTAATAACATGTAATTCCTTAAAATGTTTTAATGTTACCTCGGCTTGTGAATATTCATTCACTCGTGTCCTTTTCACACTGACGTTAAATCTTAACTAAGTTCACTATTGCCTGCACATTTATGTGCTTAATTAATGGTGGTGTGATTTAACTGAGGCCATAGTTTCCTTAAATCTTCAGATCCTGTTGGGCAATTGGATTGCTTTCATGTTTTCCTGTCTAGCATACTGAACTGGACATCTCTCTTCACTTGATTTATTTCTTTGGGATAGTTTTCCAAAGCAGGATTTCTAGAACTGACCATTTATTGGATCCTTGAAGCATACGTTCAAACTGCTTTCTCCGAAAGCCCACCCACCAGCTTGCCATGCCTCCAGCAGGCCCTGGGTCGTACTTCCACTGCTCTAGGGTGGTCTAACCAGCTGTGACATGACAGACTGATGCAGGCACACCTGTGCACACCTGTGTGTGGAGTCTCGGTCTGTCTGTCCAGTTTCCTGGCCAGTGACCTGAGGCAAGGTGCTGGCCTCTGCCCTAGACCTACTTCTGAGTAAACTCTCCTGAGAGGCTTGTTGGGACCACCAGCTTCACAGGCCCACAAAGAGCAAAGGGAGGGGTTGGTTATTAGATCTCAGGGAGGAGAGCTTGGCTGTGGCCTTGGTCCCAGAAGGTAAAGTGGAGGCTTAGCTGTATGCTTGTTCATGCACATGGTGCCAACTGCCTAACCCTGCAATCTACCATCTAGAACAACTACAGGATCTTAACCTTGGGACAGCCTAGCACAAAAAGCACGTTTGGTAGACAAATCACCAATCCACAGACTGCCTTAGCTCTGGAAAAACGGACCCCAGGAACTCAAGTGATAATATAATAAGATACGTTAAATTTGCTGTAGAAGTGGCAGACTGAAAAATTTGCCATTTCCATAAAACACCCAAATGCTGGATAAATTCTGATGAAGGTACTTGTAACTGCACTGCTGAGGTCACAGATGAGAAATTGAGTAAACAAACCACAGAGGTAGTTGAATTCAAAAGAGGAAACCTGTGCGCCATAGGAGCAAAAGAAATTCCAAGAAGTCAGTTTGAGGGATTAGCTGCCTATAGGAGGAACAGGAGACTAGACTTTGAGCCTCTACTAAATGTAGAGACAAAAGTGAGACTGCTCCATGAAGCCAGGTCACTCTCACTTTGGCCTCAGTGAAAAGGCAAGCAGGGAAAATCTGCCTGTCTGCAAAGGGAATGAAGCAGAAAACCTCTGCCCCTGCTGAAGAATGAAAAAGAATCTGACCAGAGACTACTTGAGTCTGCTCTCTCCTGGGACTGAGATTCAGATTTTCGTTACTTCAGAGGTCAAAGAACCCATGGGTTGAGAAATTAAGATGATTCCAGGCTTTGTAGTATCTCCTGGTATCTGGCAGAAACATAACTGTCAATCATCTAGAGAAAAAATCAAAATAATCATAATATTGCATATCAACCAATTAAAAAGTATCCAAAAAAGTTACTAAACATCCAAGGAAATGAGCCACTATGAGGAAAAGTCAGCAGAAGCAATCATCAACTCAGACTCCTGGGACTTCAGTCATCATTATCAGATACAGAATATAAAATAACTATGAAACCTCTAGAAAAAAATTAGCAAAAAATACAAGACTAAAAATAACTAGGCAGATAGCCTTCCAGAGGCCTCTATTCTGGGAGAGACAAAGCAGTAATCTGTTAAAAAATAAACATAATTAGGCAGATTTGAAAATAGAATTCTGGAAATGACAATCACTGAAAGAGTACTACTGAATAGCATATTTCAATGAATTTGAAAATGAGTGAAGCATTACTATATGATTCTTTGTTACAAAGAGATGGAAAATGGGTTCTTTCTGAAAGAGGATTGTGAGGGAAGAGCCCTTTCGAATTTTACCAAGCATAGAGTCAAGGAGCCTATTGACGTATTTATCAGTATAAAGGGGAAAAAAAATGGCTTGAGATGATGATACAATCTCAAAATGAGCAAACATGCGTCGACCTAAACCCATCTTGGCCCTCTGTGCTTGTTTCCAACTGCTAGATTTTGAGGGTGGTGGGTTGGATATATCCTCTCCTCAGGCATCCTCCGTCTCCAGGGTTGGGGAAACCAACAACCCCACCCTCACCCTTGCCTCATTACCCAGGACGGCTTCATTGCCTAGTGTCGGACGCCCTCTTGTGGACAGATCTAGACGGACTACCTCTGCTGCTTCCATCCACAAGTGAGATTCCTATCCAGGGCTCACGCTCCAGTAACTTTTGCCTTCTCCTTTGCACCTTTTCTGAGGCTGCCTTCTGCCCCACAGGTTCATCTAACGTTTTCTGGGTGCCTCCTGGGAAGTTCCAGAAATGATCATGCCCTGGCTCCACTATCACCTACCTTCCCAGAGCTGGGCCCTGGGTTGTCCACATCAGAACCATTCTCCATCTCACGCTGTGTCCCATGGCTCTTCCTTGCTGCCCCATCTGCCATCCTACAGCCCCAAGGCTTATAACTGCCACTGTCCTCCACCCTGGGCTGATTTTCATTACTAGAGGATGCCTGAGATCTCCCTTAGCACTGTTCACGCTTGAGAACAAATAGCTATTGGGGCCAGGGACTAGATCCATCTTTGTGACCCACAGAAAAGTACTTGCTCACTGAGCCTCCGTTTCTTCATCCGTAAATTGGGGGTGCTGATGATGCCTACACCATTGGGTTGTTGTGATCATATGGGAGTCACCCTAGCATAGGACCTAGTACCCAGGAAACCCCCATAAACAGAGGTTGCTATCACAACCTGCTGCTCTCTCTGCCAGTAAGTGATTTCCCTGAGGATTCATCTTTGTCCTAGTATCCTGCCTGGAGCCTAGTGTCTTAAGTAGTATTTGTTTGAGGAATAACTTTGTGAAGGCCTACCTAATTCCGTGATATGGGAGTCACCCTAGCATAGGACCTAGTACCCAGGAAACCCCCATAAACAGAGGCTGCTATCACAACCTGCTGCTCTCTCTGCCAGTAAGTGATTTCCCTGAGGATTCATCTTTGTCCTAGTATCCTGCCTGGAGCCTAGTGTCTTAAGTAGTATTTGTTTGAGGAATAACTTTGTGAAGGCCTACCTAATTCTCAGGCCCTTTGTTAAGCCCCATAAGCATCTGTGTTAAGGGCACTTGGTATGCATGTTTCTCATTGAGAGCTGGAGGCTAATGGCAGCCATCTAGACTGCCGCTGTCTCTCTAGCACCTGGCCTGGCACTGGGCCAGTCCTCAGGACAGGTTTGAATGTGTGCAGGTGAGTCACTGGCACAGGTGGGAGGAAGGTGAGGGAGCAGGTGCAGGGAGTGGGTGAAAGGGTGGGGAACAGCAGCTGGCGGAAGCAGCCAGGACCTCTCCCAGCTTCGGTAGTCTGCCTACCCTTGACCTGGGTACTCTCACCAGCCAGGGACATTTCACCATCCCCAGCACCCACCACGGAATAGGTGCCCAGTGGATGTTAAAAAGAGACACCAAGAGCAGGGCATTGAGGGCATGGATTAGGAAAGGCAACCCAGACCTGATGGCCTTGACCAGCTACCTAAAGGCTAAGGAAACGTTTCTGTAGTGAGTGGGGATGGCAATGGGAAGAAGTTTTTTAGTTTTGTTTGCTTCAGCTATTTTTGTGGAGGAAACAGAAGAAATTAGAACACAGAATAGAAAGCACAATGATTTCCTCCTGCATGGGCTTCTCTGTTAAGGACAGACACTGAAACCTGGACAGACACCTGTGACTCAGATGCTGGCAGCACTTTTTAGGAACTGCCAGGGATCTGGGAAGTGGGGTGGCAGAAGGACAGCCTGGCATGGTGCTGGACAAGGAGCCATCAGGGAGCCCTATGCTTGTTTTTTTGGCCTGGGAAGCCAGGCCGGTGAGAGCGGCTCT